AACCGAAACACCCAACAATGCGTTTTGTACAATGTTCCTTTTCTTGTCACTTTAATATGTGAACATAGCCTGAAATTTTCTATGTATTTCTACCACTAAGGTGAAACCATCCCGCACACGTTTCATGCTAACAAAACAAGATTCACTGTCCAGACAAATCTTGGATTTGAACTCACGATCCATCTGCACAGGAGTGTCATCAACGACTGGGCAATCCGTTTTATCTTTAACTTGTTGAATTAAAATCAATATAAGTATAATGTGTTTCGTACAAATGAGCATTTTAAAGTTCTGAAAAGTAGATAAGTTTGCCTTACAATTCGGATCAGTACGGCGAGCATGGTGACACAAACAAGCCAAAACCTTGAAAATAATTGAAAATATTTTATTTCATTCACTTTCTTAGATAATCACAGCTGTCTTTTTAAAATCAATATATATACATGTAAATATATACATAAATATATATGTATGTATGTGTGTGTGTGTGTGTGTGTATGTGTGTGTGTGTGTGCGTGTGTGCATGTTTAACGCCGTAACAATCAAGTCATATAAGGCATGTACTGGAATGTTGTTCTTGAATTAAAACAAACCGTAATGATGCAAATTGTCAGTGCCGCACATATATTAGCCTACTGTCTATCGCCTGGCATATATATATATATACACAGGATTATGCTTCTTCGCAACCTGAATCGATGCATCAACTAAGGACACCTTTGGCTGAAAGCCAAACAACGTGTGTTTCAACCAATGGCCGTCAGTCTTCAATAACCGTGAACCAATAAGATGACAGGCTTGTTTCTGTTACTGCACATTCGAATATTCACGCCTTGGATTGGTAGTTTGGTTCAAAACAGTACAGCCAGCGATATTCAGACGATCGAGAGCGTGTCAGCTCAGAATAGCTTCCACTCAACACAGTGAACCAACCCATTTACTTCAGCAAGGTTTCGACACGAACATGCTAGGTAAACAACTATAGCGGTGAAAGATGTGTCACGGTTACTGAACATAAGATGTGCCTTCACATTACTTCTACGTTCAATATACTTCGGTGCTCGGGTTTGTTTGTTGTTTAACGCCGCACTCAAATATTCCAGCTATATGGCGGATGTCTGTAAATTATGGAGTCTTGGCCAATCAATCCAATGATCAATAGCATGAGCATCGATGTACGCAATTTGGACACTATGACATAAGTGCAGAAACGAAACAAAAAATGTTTGTAACATATGAAACTGTCAGTAGGAAAGTAGAATGTATCCATTTTCAACACACTGACGTACATAATTGTTTAGAATATCTCACCATAAAATGACATTACAAAATACCAAATCAATTCAAATTGGTAAAAAGTACATCCTGTTTTAAGCCAAATCAGACGGACATCAAACAATTAACATGTAACACATATCGGTATTTGAGTATTGCAACACTTGCTCCACACCGAGATGAAGAGGGATGGACAGCTGGGTTGGGCATAGCCATGAAATTCTCCTTTCTACGTCAGCAGGTAAGTGGTCGGTAAAACGCAATACGTACATAAGGCTATGCTGGATAGAAAAAGCGGGGCGTACCTTTCTGCGACCTCACTGCGGACGTGTGTTTTTAAAGCAGCTCTAACGTAACTATAGATCCTACTAAGGATAAGTTAGACCGGCGCTGAGAACGCGTTTACGAGAAGTAGGCGGTACGGCAATGAGCAAACTCATTTGGTTTGTGAAAGGTAGAGCAGATGTAGGCTAGTGCACGTGCATTACATGACGATGAAATTGATTCCGCGCGTAGCTGCACACGCCTTGCTTCACCGATCGCACTACACTTGATAGCGGACAACCCGGGGCCCCTTCGCTAACAATGGCTGGCGCCAGTGGGCGGCACCCATACATGCAAATACGAGTCAATTGTCAGGTCGGTGCTCAACTTATCCTTGTTTGCCAGTACCTATATATACCTTAAGTCATTTTATTCATAGGTAGTTGTCTTAAGTTCCATAGAGCAAATAACTGGGGCTCAACATTTCCCGCGTTTTTGACAGTTTAGACAATAGTGGTGCCATACGGGTTAAATGAGAGAATTTCCATAATTCTGAGGAAAATCGATTGGGCGAATACTGACATTTTGTTCTGTTAAAGTTGCACATTGCGCGATCTACCTAACCAAAAACATTTTACGTGACAAATTAGGCAGGAAAATTTGAAAGAGCATTTATTGGTTTTGTACGTTTTAAGAAATAAACTACATGTTGTGTTTTAATTTGTGAAGTGACCATGGTAACGTTTCCCGAACTATTTTGATATTTTGGGGCCAGTTTTACAGTTTCCGTTTCTTCTAAATAATCAACACACCTAATCCTGTGGACTGTCTAATTACCCTTTCATTTATCATTAAACAATATCATTATCTATGTGTTACAGCCAAACACTGCTTGGGTGCCATTTTCCAAGCCTTTTTCCGGCAAAAATGTTGACACGCGGTTCCTGCTTACAGAACAATGGTGTGAGGACGTATTGTACTAAACTGACGTACAATTAATATATTAATAACGCATACATACACGTACATGTATTTAAATCATAACATGAAATATTAATGAAAATTGTTATTCGTGTATAAATATAATTTGAACAGAGATGTGTAGCCTTGCTCCAAGGCTGTACTGAATGCTGAGCCCATGGATGTATGGTAATTCTTTCCTTTGAAGAGGCAAGTCAAGATATACAGACCCTGAAGCAAATATATCCAAGAAAGCCCACGCAAGTCTAGAAAATGTGTCCTGATTTCCACAGCTTCTGAAAATGAAGAAAGTCTCAGGGCTCCTTTTCATTAAATTTTATTTTTTAACTATACTACCCATCAAAAGTTTAGACTCACTAGTGTAAATGTTCTAAACTAGATTTTGCAAAATATTCCCTACTGTTTATAGTTTAGTTGAGTTGAGTTGGGTTTTACGTCATTATTCCAGCCATATAGTGACGAGAACAAGTTTGCATTAATGAACATTGTAAGTACATACACGGAATGAGTTTTATTTCAAAAACATATATTCATCACATTGTCATTTAAAAGTAGAAAAAGTCATAGCACTAAATTTAAAGGCAGGCAATTTGTAAGTCACATTACACAGTTACAACTTATGCCTACTGTTTATAGGTACTGTTTACACATGAACTGATGTACTGTAAAACAAATTCGTAATGTTGAAAATATTATTGTCATAAGTTCAATACATGATGGAACTCAGTGAAAATGGGGCCTACAAATCTTTACACCAAAACAAAGCTGTTCACATGCACGATATTAGCACTTACTTTTGAGAAATGTGAGGCATAATCCTTGTGAAGATTATCTGCATAAAGTGTGCAGTTGGTTCCCCCAAGTTAGTGGAGAAATTCATCTTCGATGTAACCATATATACATACATAATATATAGTGAGTGCTCCAAGTGAGTCAACTTTTGCTGGGTAGTATATGAACTTTTTTCTGTAAAATATGTTCAGTTTCAGAGACTAGTTGTTAGTCTACAGAGAGTACAACCTTGTGAAATACAGAATTTTACCGACAGTCTCAATGGACGAGCCTGACATGACAAGGTGGAATGCCTATGTCCCCCCTACCCACTCCCTGGATGCTGTCACCATCGTCCCTTCCCTTTCTGATTGATAATGACCACAGACAGCTGGGAATGTTAGTTCCTGAGTTCAACATGGCAAAACGATATTTTGCGCTTGGTTTCTTAGCTCCTGCTTCCTCCTGGTCGTCTTTCCTCAAGCGCTTCTCTTTTACCAGGAGATATTTTTCCGAAATGTCCCTCAGTGTTTCCTGACATTCGCTTTTTGGGCTTTCTAATTTAGTTTTACTTGCTGGAATTTCTTTGTGACACTTTTCTACACACTATATGGGTGTTCAGTTCTGGACCGAAACCAAATACCTATGGGTGTTTGTAAAAGAAAAATCTCTCCATCTTTTCCCTACCTGTGAACAATTTCCTTCCATAATTTTCCACACGTAATACAAGCACTGTTCTTTAAACTTGGAGCTGTGATCATGGATATCCATCATTTGGTTGGTGTTTTAACACTAAAATATTAATGAAATCTTTCTACAGAATTTTCCATCTGTTTCCACATTGATCCATTCCATTCTTCCAGCAAAATAATAGGATACTACCAGGCCTCTATACTACTGTGAGGCTATGAGAGTGAGTTTGAGGTCAAATCTGGCATTTTGCAGCCAAGTCATGAACATCATTGTAAACAACTAAGTCTCTAAGGACCCTGGTCTGTTATTTATTATTTTGTAGAAATCATCATTTAAACTATTAATTTAACCTTAGAGACTTGTGCAAGTCTAAGCGATGTGCAATAACTGGCATTAATCAGATATTAAAACCTTCCATATCTGATGATATCTGATTCCATATATTTCAGGGATTTAACTAGACCTGCCCAGAAGCAGACATTTGGCACAAACTCTGTAGTAAATGAAAGTAAGAATTCCTAATTAGAATTGTTTTAAATCTATACACCTGAAAATTGATAAAAATAAGAACATTTAAAAGTCAAAGTCTGAACACTATCACAGGTTTTCCTACCAATTTGATTACCAATGGCTCTCCTACATAAATATTTGCATTTCATTCTAATTAAGGATTGATCACAACTACATGTAAATGAGAGTCATGATATGGTCTTCCATTACATAAACAGTACTCTATTATTCAAAATGACCACTTTAAATATCTCTTATATACAGTTATTGACTGCACAGATTTTACTGATTCAGCAGCCGCACCTATATATTGCTGTGGCTACCAGGAAAATAACATTGGATGGAAGGTGGTTCTATAGGAAACTAAACCTACCAGACATGCTTCACTTTTCTTTTTATAATTCAATAATGGTTATATCTTCCAGGATATTCCTAAAATTTTCTATGGAGTACAGTCAACAAAGAATCTATAAATCACCCCAGGCACAATATATACAAGGTAGGAAACTGCATATTTCAGTCTGATATGATAATTCATAAATAATCTACTTCAACGGTGTTATTGTTATCCTAAATGAAACCAGGCAACTGCTATCTTTCAGTATAATACGTTGACAAAGTTGTTTGTATGAACAACTTGCTTTGTCCTTTGGCTTTCTTGCTGATCAACTGCTGTTCAGATCTTCTCCCAAAACTATAGTAGGTGAACAAAGAAGCTTCTAAATGACACTAAGACCATATAGATCACATTTTTGGCAAAATCATTGATGGCAGCCTAGTTGGTTCTCAGGCATAACCAACTTCGATCTTCCTGGCGGCTACAGAGTGGCGGTACTTTCTTAGTGGGTGTTTATTCTCACTACATACACGAACTGTGCTGCTCTCCCTTGTCTCATCATGTTCTCCATCATTCCACAATGAAGCACACCAGATTACAAGGGGAATCTGAAAATGAAAGTCAATTATACATAAAAAAAGTATAGTTAAATTTAATGAATAATACTGTAACAGTGAACAGAATGAATGTAACACACTGTTAACAATGGGTAGAATTACAATGAGTAACATTTATGCATAATACTGTAACTATGAATAGAATTAATGTAACATACTGTAACAAACATGGGGTAATGTTGTATGGAATTTAAAGCAAAATGTTGTGGCATTAATTATCCCCTACTTCTCAAATTGACAACAGATAGAGTAATACACTCATAATTTGTTAAAATCTAACATGTTTAACTAATTTTTCAATAAGTAACATATTTACCTGGGAAGACACAATCAGAGTCATGCAGACAAGACACAGCCCACTCACAGAAATCTGAATCACTGTACCTATCAGAAGAAACAGACCTGTTACATTGTTAACAAACAAAAGCAATTTATCATGTTTATTGGAAAACCATACATTATTAGAACATGGCAAACTAGAATGTCAAACATATTAAGGGAAACCATTTTAAAGGACAAAATACCTGTGAGGTTTATTTTGTATTGTTTGTCATTTCAAAAACTCCTCAATCAGTAATCAGGTTCAGAAGCAAGAAATAGTACTGAAACATCTATTTTTCTCAGTCTTACCTGAATCTCATAGCCCCTCTCCCATCACAAAGTGTCTTCTTCTCCGATTCCAAAACAACTCCATAAGCTGAAACCATTTCCTCTAATTCGGTAGTGTTTCCATCTGTAGGGATACCTTCAATCTGTATCACATTTGCCCCAACAATTGTCCAAGACTCTTCGTGTTGTAACTGAACTCTTTTCACATTCTTCACATCACAAGAGTCAGATGTGACTGTTTTCTTTGAGTCTATCTCACCACCACTTGAGTCTTTTACGACTGCTTCTACAGGTAAAGGTTCCATCTGTGCAGATACCTCTAAAATGTCCTTCACAGAATTATTTTCTTTATTGGTAATTTCTTCTGCGTGGCAAATCACATCCAAGTCTATCATAGTACTGTCAGTATGTATATCTTTGTGGGTATCCTGAGAATTTGCAGAAGCCTTTTTAGTTTCGCTTCTGTTCTTATTTTCTGATTTTCGTTTCTTCTTTGACTTTCTGTCTTTCATTGGTTCAAAAATAATGTCTACGTTAGTTACTTTCTTGCTTAGTCTTGGTGGTAAAGGTGGGAATGTCCTTCCTGATGTAGCTGCATTGTTGGTATTCATGTTTACGTCATCATGAGGTGTTCCTCCAAGTGTTGGGAAATCATTTTTAGATTGAACATCAAAAGATTTTGTATGTTTCGGTGGTGGTAGAAAGGGACGACTCACCATCCCTCTCTGTGATGGCAGCAGGATTTCTTCCTCATTTCCATTCTCTTCATCAGACATGTAACACTAGAAAATAGCACTTGTGATGTTACTATTGTTATGACAATGAACAATTAAGTTAATGTAGTACCATCAGAAATTCAAGCATCATTCGGACAGACACTTACTTCAAACATAACCATGATAACAGGGAAGAGTAATTTATTTAACAAACAATCAAAAACATAGTACGAAATGTCCAAAATCACGGTCTCAATCAAGTCATCACTGAATTAGACTTAGAAGTGAGGCGTAGGAACTTATTTAGAAGATCACATTATGTTTTCTCAGATTTGCAGGTGATCTTGAGTATTCCATGTTAGAAGTTTGATTGAACATGTTGAACCAGTCACTGTTAGCCACAGGTTTAAGATATGAAAATATCCTGGCTTCAATTATTATTTAATGACTTTCAAAAAGAAAATTCTTTAAACTCTTAACTTACATCAGAATCATCAAAAAGAGTTGTTCCTGAATCTGATGAGCATGTAGAACTTCCAAAGGGATACTGAAACAGTGATTCTCCAGTTGTCCCTATTGAAGCAGGCCTAGCTGTACTTGCAGGGAATCTTTTAAGCTGTTCTGCTTGATCGGCTGCATGCTGGGTCAGTATGCGTGCTCTTCCTCTTCCTGCACGCTTCTTGGTTGGAAGTATATTTGTTAAATCAATGCTAGGCTGGAAATAAATACAACTGTAAATAAAACAGCAAACATCTCACTCCCAGCATAAAGAATAGCGTATTAAACAAACCGTTAATCATGTCTCTCATTGGGTGCATTTCATTATCTACATTTTATCTGCCACTCAAAGAAGTTATTTGATCTGCGGTTGAAACCTAAGGGAAATTGACATAGAAAACTATTCTTAAGCACTTAATCATTGTCTCTTCATAGTTTAAATACTGCAGACATAACAGCAAATGCTAATGCACTAACATATTTATGCATGCTATACATAATAATGACCTACATAAATGAAAATAAAATGAACATTTTTGTCTGTTATAAACCCACACATGAATGCAGTTCAGTTTTGCAACTCTATGCATGACAGTAAAGATATTATAGACTATAAGCATACAGATCACTAATCAGTCAGTGTAATACCACTGTATGACTAATTGTCAGTCACAAATACCTATGGCATCACTTGTATCATTGTATGTATAAGTGCAATGCATGATATATATGAGAAAACCTAGCAACTTTTAGTAATATTTACTACCATAATTCCAAATACACATCTGGAATACTGAAAAGTTCTGACTACAGGGATTTATCAAGGTATTCTTGGAAACAAACATTCAGAATAACTGGAATAAAACATTTCTCATTTCGTATGTTATCATGCTGTTATAAAACTAAGCGTTAATAATAACAGTCTTACATTCGCAAGATTATTGCACTGAACATGTTAATTATGTGAAAGATAAATACAAGAACAAAATTAGACTTTTCCAATTATTTGTCAGCCACTGGCACTTATATTACGACAAAATCAAAGATATTTCCCCGGCTAGAGACCCATTGCCAGATTTTAATGCTGACGAAAGTGTACCCAAGAACAATGTAATAGGTGAAACTGTATCTAAAATACTAAGATTCCTTGTTATTGTACATAATTGTAAGGCAACACCCATAAATGATAAGACTGAATAATCTAAACATGCACAGGAGAAAACATTATAAACATATGTCAACTGAATATTTTATAAACTTAAAGGCAATAGACTTACCAAAGCATTAGCTGCCACCAGTGTTATTCCGCGAGGTAGTCTTGGTATAGAAATCTCTGCCTTTGTTTTTCCTCTGCCATAGCAATGTGTCAGAACTAGAGCCTTTACTGCAGATCTCGTTTCATAGCAAGGGACACAATCTTCAAAACTATCGAGTTCCAGGTGGTTTTGAAGACGTTCTAGAGACAACATGGCATCTGTGAAAAAATCTTTAATGAATTAGTTCGCAATCAAACATGCATGTAAATTTGATTGACATGTTATAGATTACAGATCTTGCATGAGGTGCAATTCTGAAAATATTTCATACAGTCATATTTGTGGAAATATTCACTGAGTAGACCTTGAATCAAAGCCTTCATTGGCTTCAGCTTCAGAGATTAATTGTAATCAAGACAGACGAAGCCATACTGAAGTCAAATTTGAATTTATGTTGAGGCTCGGAGTTAATGATTGTTTGTCCACTCACATATCCTTCCAAACCTGAACAGCAAGTGAAACCCTTAGGTCGGCTCTATCAGGCAGGAAGGGGTCGGATAAAAAAATCTATTTGGATAAGACGAGCAGATGATTCTTTCGGGATTAAATTGAAACAAACGTAGTGATTGGTTAATTCAAGCGGACCCGCCAATGAAATGGCAGGTTACAAAACCAAGTCAAGGGGAGGCAACTCTGAACACCAAAGTTCTTTTGGGTCGTCGCTATTTCACTCTCAATCGGAGTGAGACCGAAGATGGCAACTCAAATGACATTTCAAAGAAGAGGCAACGCTAAACCCCCAGACAAAGGAAGTTTTCCTCTTGATCACGAAGGTATGCTGATTGTGATTGCTAAAAATATCAACAAATGTTTTAACATTGATCTGACTGAATAATAGTCTACAGCACGATCAGTAATTTGGAGGATACTGAATTATAATATAAGGATAAGAATATAGCTCTGAATTATGGGAGTCTGTTGTTCTTAAGTTTCAGCTTCCCAGCAAACCTCGCATTATGACGTGAACGATTGAGTGAATGTCACTGTACCCTGACTGCCTGGATGATTGCTCATAATATCGACCACTGGTATCATGCTTAACACAACTGCTTATTTGTGAGTTGACAAGTGCAATAGGTATTGTGTTGATAGATGATTGATCGATTAAAGCTACAGCTGAAGGCCAGCCTGATGATAATTGCTGAATCTGAATAGGATAATCCAGCGAACATGGTGAATCACCTCCTGAGCATGGATTTACGCATTTGGGTAATGTGTCTCAGAATTGATCTCAAAATGATGTGCTGAACAGAACCGTATCCTAAATTCATGGATAACCTTGATTTGTGGACCGCGGAAATTATCATGCTGGCTCGTAAATTAAGTCTCGACTGACCTCACGAAGTGGTACTTTTGATGTACATACAATGCCACGCCTCGCTGACAAAAAGTCCGAATCTCTGCATTACATGCAAGTACACTAAATATAATTGTCCAGCACTGAGATAAATAGCCCCCTGGCCCAGATCACTAATACTACCATTACCAAATTTTATTTTTACAAAATGTCAAGTAAAAAAGATACCGTTAGCTCCAACCTTCTCACTTCTGGTTGTCTGCTTTCCTTGGTGTCAATACTTAGTGCAGTGGGATGTCGTACATAGTGGTATGAAGTAACCGAAAATGTAATCCACGAAACAAGGTGACGTCACATTTTATGGGTACACGAATGGGTGATGGTTGTAAATGGCTTCCGTAAACAAACGTTTCATTCACAAGTGGAATATTAGGCATTTTCAATTTGCTGAATCAATGAATAAAATAATCAGTGCATATACTAAATGAAATCATGCATTTAAAATATGAATTTCGCCGCACTTCCCTTATATCCACGAATCAAGGTTACGCGAGTGTATGGTGAAAAGTAAACACAAAATTTCTTAACAGGATTTGGTTTGTACTCATTCTTATTTTTGTGGATAAGATTTTGTTCAGCAGCGTTAATGCTATAAAGCGGTATTGGATGGGGTGGATAGGGGTGACAGTTTGAAGATTGTTGTATAGTCTTTAAAGTACCATACTTGTCTTTCAGGTGGTGGTGAAATGGTTTGTGCATTGAAGAAAGTCTTGTATATGGACTCAGGTAGCATGTTCAGCTTTAAATATATCTCTTTTCATTTTCACCAGGTGAATGCAAAGACTTCATGTTCAAGTATATGCAATGCCTAAGAATAAACAAGCACTCAAATTCCCAATGTAGAGACGAATCAAAAGATTACCTGCAATGTCGAATGGACAGGTGAGAATATAGTATTTTTTCAAAGACCTGTTTATTGTTTTGTGTTACAATGAGCCTTCTCTAATGAATGCAGAGTTGAAAACTAAAAACGGTTATGTTTGATCAAATGTTTGCTTATTTTGATGTTCTTCTTGCTTGTATTTATTTCATATTAATTTTAATAGATATCTTTTATTTTTGTTTCATTATTGAAAATGATGGTGTCATGTCAGTAGTTAACCACCAGTTTACATTACAATGTCAGGAGGTCAGCAACAGAGATTGACCAAGGTCATCCTTTTATATTTGAGAAATAAGGTTCCAAGGATGACAGTATGTGGCACACTTCACTTGATTTCCAAGAATTGTATGGTCATGTAGCGGTTGCTGAAAAGTCTACAGCCAATCATAAATCATAGAATGTTGTGATTTCAAAGTTAGACTGAAGAACAGCAACCACTGACTTCCAGGATAGAGTGGACTTCTGACCGGAAGCAAGGCAACAGTCCAGTGGTGGTCATATGCAACATGTCCTCTACAATGTTAATACATTTACCGACTTCATCAGCAATACAAGATTGCATCCCTCAGAACCTGCAGTGTTAATTATTTACATCTATTCTCCAGTTGTATGTGTGTAAGATACAATATTTTCATTCAGTAAAACCCAGCAACAGTCGTAAACAAAGAAGTGGCCTGCTGTTTCATGATCCACAGTTAGGGATGGAAACTATGTAACAATCAGAAGTGTCTCAGGCTCTCAACGTGTCACTTGCTGCCTGAAAAGGAGCAAGTTCAGGGGTGGAAATAACTTTAACATTGCTAGTGTACTCCGGTACAGTGGCACATGTAAAATCACTTGCCCTGATAATTTTTCCACTATACCGGCCGTTTTCTTGTTGATTTTTTAAATAAACAACATAATTAATATTGAAAAGTCAACTGGACACCGGTACAGTGTGATATACAAATTTGCTTGCCCGACAGAAAAAAACACTGGACTCAGGCGTCGGGCAATGGGTTATTTCCACCCCTGAAGTTGTATGGACTGACAACATCTATATTACAATGGATGTGGCGTTTCGGTGTAGATGCTAACACTGTCATCAAGAAAGTGAAATGTCGCATCCATTGCAATAAAGAAGTTGTCCATATAACTTGTTCCTCTTCATCATATCAACTTCTAAATGCCATTTGAAGAAGTTCACTTGCTGCCTGATGCATAGTTTATTGGATTGGATTCGTATACTAAATCCTTTGAAAATACACAAATGATAATGATAAACTTTGTTTCAGGAATCTGATGACCAAGGAAAGCTGGGAGAAGCTGGGTTACACTACAGATTCACCTAAAGACACACAGTCATGACAGATGTGACATGTGGACATAAACCTTATTAGTAAAGTCCGAATTCCTGAATGCAAAACATAAGATGTTACTACACATCAGATTCCAGTATCAGTGACACGATGGACATATACTGGAATTTGCCTTTGTCTGTTTTGTCCCAAGGACTCAGTAACAGGCTTTGAGGTCCTAGTTATGAAAATGGAGTCTCAATGTACCAACAACAAATATGATGTAAATAATTTGTGAAACCTTATGCTTTGTTTAGGTATTTATTCCTTTGTTTAGACTGAAAATATGTGTGTGATTGAGAAATAATCTGACATGTCAATAGTTATATTTCTTATCAAATAGAAATTTTGATTAAATTTTCCCATATTTCTCAAGTGAATTTACAATTGAATTATAGCAGTGATTGAGTCACACAATTTGAGCCGCGGGACAAAAAGTGTTAATTTAGTGAGTATGACCTCATGATCAGCTTTCTTTATGTTCAGTTTCTTTAACTCTGTGTTGGAACTCAGCGTTTACCATGGGGGGGGCGCGGTGGGCAAGCTGGCTAAGGCGCCAGGCTAGTGATCCAGCGAGGTTGAGGTGTCGGGTTCGAGCCCACCTGTGACCTGTTGCAAAAACCTTGGAGTCAGCTTTTTGTGCAGACTCTTTCAGTGTTGTCACAACCCCTAGTGTACAGAACACAACCCTGTGCACTTAATAGAACCCACGAATCCATTGGTATATGACCAGATGGTAGCCACATGAATACGTACAAACACATAGTTGCGGGTACAGCAACGTGCAGTGAACTTGGACAAAGTACTGTGATTATGTGTCCCAGTCCACCCAGCTGTGAATAGGTACCTCGTTAGGATGAGAAAGCCACAATAACTTAGTGCGCCTAGTGGCAGCAAGAGTTGCATACTCCCCAGGGAGTTGAGATTGATAACACAATGTGCCATTGAAATTGACATCCAATGATCGAGGGGAAAAATACCAGCGCCTTGAGCAAGCACTAGTTGCCTGGATATGTGCGCTATATATCGTATAATAATAATAATATACAGTCAAATCCTGATGAGTCGAATGCCTGTGTCTCGAATATTATGCATAACTCGAAGTACCTGTCGGTCCCGACCATTCCCTGTTATAGTTGTCATCATTTGAATACCGGTTACACGAATTCGTCTCATAAATACACACGGTGACTCGAGAAGGAAATTTTGTCCCATGAGATTCAAACAACAGTAATCTTGTATACATGAGCCGAAGTTACCCAATGATTTGTTAATTGGTGTAGCTAACTGATCCAATTAACAAACCAGCTCGGCTCGCACCTTTCCGCTATTGTCGGGTGAGTTCAAAAGGCAGATTAGTGATTTTACGGAAACGGAAAAATTAGCACATGACATTGAGTTAACTCAATCCAATTGGTTGCGTTACATAGCAGCTTTCATTCGGTTATTACTATTCATGATCTGTATATCATGGCGGAATTACAATGTTCCTTGGCAAGCGTCCACGAATTTGTGGATAAATGTAAGTATTTTGATATGATGTGCTGAATAAAGGAATTGTTCAATATTCGATCATCGTTTTTTCTACCCTCACAGACATACCTATGTCTCGAATACATCGATAAGTCGAATTTATTACTTGGTCCCCAGCGATTCGACTCATCGGGATTTGACTGTAATAATAATAATAATCTATTCATATCTGAACCATGTATATCATGGAACAATTTGAAAGGTATTTTGTTTTAAGTTTTCTGATTGTATGCTGTGACATTGTGGTTGGGATACACCTCATTGGTATTTGTCAACAGCCTGTCAATTCAAATAGAAAGTCAGAATGGAAGATTTGGATAAAATGCTTCATGCCAACATGAGAATCTCTACAACCACTGAAACTTTGGTATTCCATGAGATTACTCTTATCAATGACAAAGGCCACCACAATCTGACTTGGAACTAAGGTAAAATCTCCTACATATAAACGGTAGCGCAGATAGGGTTGCGGAACAGAGAAAAACATGACCAGTCTCCCTATATGCGAGCAAAGGGTTGTTAAATATTTTTAATGTCAAAATAACATATCGCCAATATCAAAGGTAGACACCCATTTCCTCACAGGGTTGTGTTCTCAGATTTCCAACCTCATATTTAATAATTACTCATGTAAAATATTTATCATTCAACATTTTAAGCACCACTCATGGCATATCAAATCGTTTTTCGCCTCCATTACCCCTGTCAGCTTCCGTTCAATTGAGTGAAGGAACAAGAATAAGCAGAAATTAAAAAGAATTATCATATATATTATTACTTATGCATATAATCTTCATGACATATAAAGCATAAAAAATACCAACCAATATTCAAGTGAAAATAGAAGAGCACAGTAACAAATTTCTGGGCTAAAATTCGAACTGGTTTCCATAGAAACAAAAGCAATGAAAAAATACAGAAATCCCATTGTCTTTGACTGATAGATGGTCCATCTATCAAAGCAGCTATTTTTTAGTTTAATGCTTGTTTCTTTTTGCGGGGTAGTGCTGCCCTATATGATTTGACCTTATTTACGAGAGATATTTTCAGGTAATGGTCACATTCATCAAAATACAAATCAATGAGCAAAGAGTACAGAACTTCTAAGGAATCATCTTCATGCCCTTCACTTAATTTAGCAGATATGAAGAGTTCTAACCACATTGAAACTACAGGGAAAAAACAGAATGTTTGATCTGAGATGTGCATCAGACCTCTGGGTGAAAACTGTTTAAAGTCTATCTCTGACAAACTTGCCTTGTCCTCAGTTTGGCTATTAATTTCACATTCACTCACCAATTTTGAAGCAGTAATTGCTTAACTTTGTCAATTCTTGATTGTTTAGAAAATCTTCCTTGTCAGGGCATCAGGCTTCGTCAGCACTGATTTTCTAAGTCTCTGTCTGATTCTTGTTATACATGCACCAGGTATGTAACATACTTTGGCACGAGGCATGTCAGTCACTTCTTCAGCATTGTAGATAACATGTTCTTCCTGTGTATCCATGATCTGACTGGCCTCTTGATGTACATGGACTTGCAAGATATAGATAGAGTTTTGTAGATGTTTTCTTGCTGTAACTCTTATCTTGTACTTTGGAAAAAAGTCACTGATAGCTTGCCTTGTGATCTTCAGAATTCAGGAAAATGGTTAACATGACATAATATTAGTCAATGGTTTGTCTTTGGTAGGATTTGCTTTCTTTAGTTACAACTTTTTTCACAACTTCTTCTGCTCCAGTCTTCCCTGGTATCTTTTTTCCTCTTGTGTTCACATGTTGGACAACATCCTTGTACTCTACATCACAAAACTGACTGAAGTCATACAAGACAGACTTTCTCTTTGTAGATTTGTCAAACCGTTAGTACATGTCCACACTAAAGTCTTCAGTATCAAAGTTCACCTCACACTGAAGAGAATCAGAAGCCTTGCAAGCTAAATAGTGCACCAAGTGACATGGACAGCCAACAAAATAGCAAGATTCAATCTGGTCTTCCACTTGGGACTGAAGCAACAGGTTGGTCTCTCCTGAATCTTTTGACTTAGAGAGGTGAATTTCACCATGCATTTCATTCATTTTCAACTCAAAAGCCCATACAGTTTAATTGGAGGGAGTTGCCCCTCACCATATTGAAGAGGTCTTCTGAGACTTTCCATCAGGTCAGTTGGACGACCATCACCAACTCATTTATGGCAGATATTAGGTCCCCTCCTCACTCGCATATTGGAAGACTAGTCATTTTTCTCTCCGTTGCACAACCCTATTTGCCTGTGACTGAAGTTTTCATAAAATGAAATAACACCTATGTCTATCAAGTCAACAGTCATTTATTTTTTAAGGTTGACGTTGTGATATCAATGAACATATGATAAAATTCAGACATGTTTATTTACCGCAATATTGCTCTTTCCAATATTAATGTATTCCTCTGAAGGTGTATCCGTTCAAGGCATCAAATATTCAAGCACTTTAGCTTAATATGAAAATATATACAATAGCAAGTTAACCCTTCATCCAGTGGAGGTGAACTTCTGTACCTGTGATATTCAGGGTGATGTATGGATGATACCTCAGATGAGAGAATAAAGCAGATGTGATCTGAGAAGTGTGTGTGAAATGTACAGCTTGCTGACATAACAATTATGTCCAAGACCATATGTGGCAGTTGTCATTGAACGGAAAACCCCATTGCTAGATTGACATTTTTATTCTGATTTGATGTGACCAACAGCAAATAATATGTATTCAGCATCAATAAAAGCATTATTGATCTTTTTTAGAACATTTGTGAATGGTTAGACCCATGCTGAGCCAGTAGTTTTGCATGTTTTAACCTTTCAGAGACCAGTTCTAATAGGTCGCACACCGGGCTTGTGGGAGGGCGGCTGTAGATGAATTATATTATGAGTCACTATTCACCATGTTCAGATGAAATGTGAAGTGTATTTTCTTATATAAATAATAAATTACATCAGAACTGTAATATATTCTGCTGATTTTGTCAAACATATGCCCATAATACAGAGGACTTACATTGATTGATACCGTGTGGCAGCTTGACTCCTGAGAGTTTCTAGGACTTACATTGATTGATACCGTGTGGCAGCTTGACTCCTGAGAGTTTCTAGGACTTCAGTCCTGTCCCACAACAAGGCACATGTAATACATGTGGTCTCACTTTAGGCAAGTGAGTTTGTTCGAAATGTGTCTCCTTCCACCCAGCAGTAAATTGGGTACATGGTATCAGTGTATGAAATAAGGCTCGTCCGACAGCCCGAGACGGGCTAGATTTCTGCCGGACGGTCTAATTTTAAAGCTAGCCAGCCCGATGGACAGGTGAAATTTTTTTTTCAGATAACGTGTCCACTGGCACTGTCTGTTTAGTATTTAAGGACTGGTTAAATCTCTTCTGGGCTGGTAAGTTTTTGAAGTGACCAGCCAGGATGTCTGGTTGGGTTTTTGCCTTATTTCATACACTGATGGTATGATACGACATGTACGATAGTAGTCTGAATTTGAACTTTGAACGCCTGACAGGCGATCAGTCGTATTCTCCACAGGGAGTGTTCTGTACTCGTTGACCAGGGGTAATATGTCAGCGCTTTGAGCATGCAATGTGCATCAATAAATACACAATATACATGGACTATTATTATTATTCAGTTGCTTAAGCCAGCTGAGGGACACAGCATAGAGCTCAGGTTATAAATCAGTTGAAGTTCAGCAACGTTGGGAGTGGAGAGTCCTTGGATGGGTGACCATGTTTGGCAGCTGGACTCCTGAGAGTTTCTAGGACTTCATCCTGCCTCACAACAAAGCACATGTAATACATGTGGTCTCACCTTAGGCAAGTGAGTTTGTTCAAAATTGCCTGTTCACCCAGCATGAAATGGGTACCCAGTGGGATAAATCATCAGCTCTGGGGTAATAATGTGTTTGCACTTTGAGCGTGCACGAGTGTGTGGAAATAGGCGTTTTATAAATGTTTAGTGCCGATTTACAGGCTAGTGTACCAGATGAACTGTCTTGGCACTTCTATCACGGGGAAGATTGTGCCTATGCTTGTTCTTCACCAGCTGTCATATTGCTGACTGCTAAACAACATTCACTCACTAAACATTTATAAAAAATCCAGATGTTTTGTAATAAAATAAGACCTAAGGAATGATCAATCAAATGACTTTTTATCTATTTTCGGAGGTACCTTAGCATGTATGCATGCTTCTTGAGACAGGAAGCAGTAGACACATTAACAGTGATTAGACTGACATGTAGTCCCCAAAATAAACTCATGTACACATGATAAAATCTAATTCTATAAAAGAACTATGGAGTATTAAGGAGCCTGTAATCTATGGAAATTAATGCCCCCCTACAGTGAAGCAATGACTGCTTCCTTGCAGGTAAAACGACATGAAAGGAACCCTAGTAAAACTTCCAAAACTGTTTCCAAGTGCTCCTTCCAGGGGACAGAGAGATGGAACAAACAAACCATCAAGTCTCTTAGTTTCAGAGCTGGTACTGAAAAAGGAATGAATACAGATTTCTAGAGGTGAGAATAACATGGGAGTGAATGTTTATTAAATAATTTGCTCGGGGCTGTAAGAGAGACCAGAGATGCAGACATAAACCAAGATGTACAACAAAATAACAACAATAACAAATATGGCACCAATTTTAAAGCTTGACACTACAAGTCAAATAAATAATCCATTTGTTGTAACCTTACACTGGAAAGGTAGTTAATCAGCTGGATTTTTGGCTGTAGGATTAGTCTGGTAACTTGTCTGAGACCAATCCTGGAATTTTAAAACAAGAAGGATGCACACTTAATCAACTCTCAAGGCATGTAAACTGAACAAAAAACATGTTGACATGTACAATGTCCTTCCTCCCTTCTTCATCAGTGGATCCGTGAAGATCCGAGTTAGAACTGATCTTCAGCAACCCATGCTTGTTGTAAGAGGCGACTAACGGGATCTGGTGGTCAGGCTCCCTGATTTGGTTGACACGTCATCGTATCCCAATTATGTAGATCGATGCGCGTGATGCTGATCACTGGATTGTCTGGTCCAGACATTATTATTTACAGACTGCCGCCATATAGTTGGAATATTGCTGAGTGCGGCGTAAAACTAAACTCACCCATTCTTGATCAGTGACAGTGTTCATCATCTTTTATAAGGGTGTTCAAATAATTCCAGCACAAATTAACCAGACAAACTAGCCTTGCATACAGCCATTCACAAAATCACATGTAACCATGGTAACAAGACACCAAGATGGCCTTCACAATGGCAGTCTATGACTCCTTAGTACTATCAGCTTATAGAAAGCCACTCCAAGCAGCAATGAGTTCGCATACTTCTCCTTCTGTACATTGTTGAGATTCTTAAACGTGTCCCAGCGAGCATATGGGATGTTAACATCGCTGGCAACATCCGACTGCATCCTCTCAATGTCCTGCAGAACATGCTGACCACTCACCCTCTCCCCACCCACTGACAGACCGAAGAACTGGCTGACCAGGGTAGGAGCTACCATGTATATCTTGTGATCCACACTTGATTCAAAGTCACTGTTTAACAGAGTGAAGAGCATAGCATCTAAAATCTTCATGTTGAAAAGGAACGGCACCATGCGAGGATTGATGTTACGGAAAACTTTTCTTTCCATCACATATATGTCTGCTTCTGGAAGTTTGTCTTTTATCAAGTGCAACTGAAAAAATAAAGTCATGTAAATTAGTTTACTATAATCATGTTTTACTTTATGTCTTGTTACATAAATCTGATGACTTCAACTTTCATAAATGTGTAAGATATCAGAAACTGAAGAAGAGAGTGCTATAGAGCCAAAACTGAAAGAGAAATAGCTTACGACTCGCTCAAAAAGATGATTTTGAAATGTGTTTGTATTTCTTGTCTGAGCACTAACCTGTTGTTTTTTAAAGAAGGCCAATACAGAATTTAAATAATTTTAGGTGCCTCATATCCTGGAGTTTAACCCTGTTCATACAAATGTCCCTCCTGTAAGCTTAGCAGTCTTCATGCAGGCTCCACATACAACCAAAGGTATTTGTCTAGATTGATAACTTTCAACAGGTGATACTGTGTTGCGTTTTTATATTTTCATGTACATCTGTAAATCACCATGGTAACAGAAATTATCTGAATTCTCACCTTCTCAAGGAACTGATAAAGATCAAGTTTCTGATTTATTCTATCAAAGAGGCTGATGTGATCCCAGCCTTCCACAAGCAAGTTGCGATCTATCTTTGTCCAGGTGATGCCATCGAGTTGAGCGTCCAGAGTCACAAGAGTCCTCACATTCTACAATCAAATTATCTTAGCTATAGTCGAGGGGATCACCCCTGTACACACGTGTACTCACAGCACTCAAGAGACCCTTACCCTAAACCCCTTTTAATGTTTTTCATAAAACACAGCAATAACTTCATTATTATCCTCGGGTGGTGGGGTGGCCTAGTGGTTAAAGTGTTGGCTCATCACATCAAAGACCCGGTTCGATTCCCCACATGGGTACAATGTGTGAAGCCCATTTCTGGTGTCCCTTGCCATGATCTTGCTAGAATATTGCTAAAAGCGGCGTTCAACCATACTCACTCACTCATAATCATACCCATGAAGGTCAGGGATAGAATATTGATCTTCAGTAACTCATGCTTGTCGTAAGAGGCTAACTAACGGGATCAGGTGGTCAGGCTCGCTGACTTGGTTGACAAATGTCATCGGTTCCCAATTGCGCAGATTGATGCTCATGCTGCTGATCACTGGATTGACTGGTCCAGACTCGATTATTTACAGACCACTGCCATACAGCTGGAATATTGCTGAGTACGGCGTAAAACTAAACTCACTCACTATCAACCTGATACTGTCAAAGTAATGTTCCACAAATGGAACAATACTGAACTTCACTGTAAAGTGAGTGGGTGAATGCTGGAGGAAAGCCTAAAGAGATGCAGACCTTACTCTCTATAAACATAATCAGGGTGACCCACAATTTGAACCCATGAGGATTAGTTTCTGGTGTACCCAAGGGAGACAACCCTAAAAAACAGACTGTGGTGATTCAGGCAACCAGGCCATCTGTGGATAGCTATAAATAAACCTGTCATGTAATGAAACAACAAATTAATTTACTTACCCTACGTTGAGATGGGCTTATGTCAGGAAATGAGAAAAAGTCCTAATTTGGAGTTTCCTGAGCTGTCTGTTTATGAACACCATATGTATGCTTCCTTGAAAATGCTTTTCGTTTCATGGTTTTACTATATACTTGAACCATGCTTCTCTCACTTTCAACCCCAAAACTCCTGATGTATTTGATTGGCCCCAGGAAGTAATACTGTGTCAAATATGCAAACATAAAACACAAACCTGGCAGGTCTTTTCCGATATGTTTGGCTCAGCCCTTATTCGATCAAAATCTGCCCTAGACGTCTTATCTCGAAGAGTTTCATAATCCAAAGTACGGAGAACATTGCAAATCTTCTGGATTCCTAAAATGCCAACTCCAGGTACTAGTAAAATATCCGACAATGTCTGGAAGTTGCCATTGTCTTTCCTGTGCCTCACAATGGAGGAGGCCTTGTGGTGATTCAGCTGCCTTGTGTGCTGCAACTCATATTCGTTACATCGGTTGAATGTGTCAAGGATCTTCTCTTTCTCAGCATCTGAGTACAGAGAATCCAGAATACTTGCTTCTTTCTGGAATGTCTTCTGGGCTAAACATCTACGAGCAACCTGGAACAAGTGTCATCACAAATGAGAAGGTGAATCAGCCCTCTTAAATGCTAAATATCACCGCCTGCAAATAATCATGTTTGGCCATGTAAACCAATGTTTGACAGTATGAGCATGAACTCCCACTGAGTTGGATGATGCACAATTTAATCAACCAGTTCACAAACTGTAACCACCCAATCTCCATGTGCTACATACTGGATACATCCTGGTCATGGACAAGTGAGTGAATGATAGATTAAGGTTTTATGCAGCTTGTTGCAATATTCTGGCAATTTGACAACAGGACACCAGAAATATGCTTCTCATGTTATACACAAATGCATTTTTTGATGTGACAATCAAACACTCTGACCTGTAGGCTTCCCTACCATCCAGTCATGTATGCTGCACCTTGAGAATATTGTAACAAAATGATTAACGATGGTCTAAGATTAAACAAAACATTACAGAAAATTTCCATAAGGCCAAATAAAAAAATGTTTTGGTTCTGATTTCCTCTTTGAAATGTAGGGTAGGTACGTAGGATTTATTTTTTTTACCTTTTTTTAGACTGACTGACTGACTGAGTTTTGGTTTTACACCGCTTTTATCAATATTCCAGCAACATCACGGCGGGGGACACCAGAAACTTTTTTTAGAAGTAAAGTACAAACCAATAATACATTTATCAATGTGTAATTGTTTTTCAATCAAGCTTGCAGCCATCATGTCAACTTTCTCTATCAGAGTGACCGATGTCTGTTGGTGACAGGAAAAAACAATCGTATCTGAAAGCTTATTTTATAAATACCGCCTAAAAAAGATAGGGTCGGCACCAGAATTCAAGGGTCGGTCGGGTAATCAGAACCACAACATTTTCTTTTTTAGGCCTAATCTACCAGGGATATACAAATTACAAAATGTATCATATTTCTGTTAAACACACAAATCACAGCATGTAGAAGCAGTTTTTTAAAGAAATGTAAATACACTATAATCATGGTAATGTAGGTTCTGATCATTATTATAATGACTGATGTATTGAAACATGAAATGTAACAACATATAACATCTTTTAGTTTAAATAAGTATTGATGTTTGGAAGTATTTTCACAGCTAGGTATAATTCATATGTTTCAGTGAAGTGACTATTTGTTACCTACAGTGTGATCCGCAAACATCAAGACTATTTATCATGTAAAATTGTTTAAAGTGTCAATCATAATCACGGAGATATAGGGTTACTGCACCGCAGCTTGTTGTGCTATTTCCGAACATCAAACTGTCATTCACAACAGTATTATGGTCCTTCTACCTACACTCACGTTTGATGCGAACAGACTTTTCCTTCCAACAACCGGTAATCGAAACATCGAACAAATGCACTGCATCACTGCACAAAACTTGACATTCGTTTCAAAACATGTGATGCCTATTTACGGAAATGAACTGAAATAACCCTCTGTTACAAAAGAGTGAAACTGATTATCTCCCTTTGGTTTACATACCGTTAAGGGAATTTATGTATACATATATTTATTATGTCTTAGAGACGAAGTACATACATGGTGTTTCAAAAGTTTCAGTTAACGCTTCGTCTCTCGCGAAATAGTTTCCAAATTTTGCCTGTATATGGAATAATTATCAGGGGCCGATTTGGGATTGAAATCCAGGAGCCGGTTCGGCTTGGGGCCGGTTCGGGTGTATCCCTCAGGAAACAGCGATTTTGAATTAAGGCAGATAATATATATTAATTTCATGGTTACAACATATCAAGTACATTTTTTAAGATTACATGAATCCCCCACTCTGTAGTGAGTAAATGGGTGTAGTTTTACGTCGCTTTTAGCAATATTCCAGCAATCTAACAGCGGGGAACACCAGAAATGGGCTTTACATATTGTACCCATGTGAGGAATCGAACCCTGGTCTTTGGCGTGACGAGCGAACGCTGTAACCATTAGGCTACCTCACCGCAACTGTCACTAGGAAAACCATGGACAAACACTGGTTGGAACCAAATTGTAGGATTCCAACATGTCATGGTAGAATTATCATTGGGGGTGATGTAGTCTGTCTTACAATACCTGAACCACCTTATTTTCCCTACTGCATAAAGTCCTAAATGAAGCAAGTCTAGATTTCCACAGGTTCAGGTTCTGAATCTCTGGTATCAACTGGGCTCCTTTTCAATTTATATGGGTATATTTGTCACAATCAAAATTATATATATTCAGAGACTAAGCGTTAGTCTAGGGGTTATGGTGTGAATGGATCTTGGTAGAATTATGTGTGATACAAAAGAGGATGATCAGTCCGCATACTAGAGGGTGTGTCAAGTTAAAGCTTAAAGATATTGTGAAGCAAAGCAATGATAAATCCAGCGATAGCCACGACTCAGTGTTACAGCAAAAGAATTGGGTTTTAACGAACCTTCCATTTATGTCCCAGGAATATAATCACCGTAACTGATTAGTTAAAATTTTACATCGCATCGACGATATATGCAGAACACTACTTTAACCCCCTCTCACACACACACACACACACATACGCACTCACGCACACACACACACACACACACACACACACACAAAAACAAAACAAACTATGATCGGTTCCTAATGAATTGTTGTTTGCATTTCAGCCCAGGATCCTGATACTGATATTAATATTGATTTATTGTAACACCGCATGGGGGTGGTATTTGTTCAACAATGTTTAAAGTTATGTATATTTCACTACCGTAACAATAAACTGTGGTTTGTATTTCAGCCCAGGGCTTGATACTGATATTAATATTGATTTATTGTAACACCGCACCGGTTTTGGTCATCATTATCGACCCGCCTTGCCAAGAGTTCATTCAAGAGCGAAGAATGTCGCCAAGCAGGGTTTTAAAGTTTATATGTTTGTGATTGTCACCATCTAGGTGTGTTCAATATAACAGGAAGCCGGGTCTACTGGAGTCACCCGACCTACTTACACAGCAGTAGGTGAAGTTATAAGGGAAAAAAACAGGGGTGATAGGGTTGTTGTGTCGTTCACGAAGTGTAAACACAATGTAACCTGTATGTTAGCGCAGAGCTCTCTGTGTAGAAGGTACATATTGTGTTCACGGCAGCCATGATTTTCAGATCCCGCCCTCGGCATCACCTGTAAGTACACTTACATCTTACATATAACATGGGCTTCCTTGTCTTACATATAGCATGGGCTTCCTTGTCTTACATATAACATGGGCTTCCTTGTCTTACATATAACATGGGCTTCCTTGTCTGCAACAAAAATTCTATCAATCATTTGTTGAGAGATTTATCAAGGAATGTGACGAACAACATGTGTAAAATTAGTCCTGGTAACATAGGAGTGAATGTATTAGACCCCGAACTAGACTAACGTCTCTGAAAATATATAATTTTGACAGTAACAAACAAACCCATATAAATTGAAAAGGAGCCCCAGTGAGACCAGAGATTCTGAACCTGAGGAAATCTAGACTTGCTTCTTTTAGGACTTTAGCATTGGAAGGAGGGCTTGCAGCTGGGAAAATAATGTGGTTCAGAGACTGTGAGACAGACTACATAACCCCCAATGATAATTCTACCATGACATGTTGGAATCCTACAATCTGGTTCGCCAGGGGTTTCCAACCAGCGTTAGTCCATGGTTTTCCCAGTGACAGCTGCGGTGAGGTAGCTTAGTGGTTACAGCGTTCGCTCGTCACGCCAAAGACCCGGGTTCGATTCCTCACCGAACCGCAATATTTTCCCTCCCGCCCATCCCATTGTGCAATGCTAAAGCTCTAAACGAAGCAAGTCTAGATTTTCATCAGGTCTTCCATCTCACTGGGGCTCCTTTTCAATTTAAGTGTAAATATTTGTTCCCGTAAGGCTTACATATATTCTGAGAATCAGTGTTTGTCTTGGGGCTATGGGGAGGTATTTACACGATCAGTCAGTCAGAGAGTAATGTGTGAAACATATTCCAGCTTTATGTGGAACATACACAGACTTCCCACGTTTACCACTTGGTTGACACACAGGCGTGGAGGTCCTTCAACGCAATGAATGACCTGACGTTGAAGATTGTTACAATCGAGAAACGTTGAAGATTTAAGACCATTCTAGGTTTAAGGTCTCAACATACGTTGATGTAGAGAGCACGGTTGCTTGTTCTAATCTTGACTGATATCGGTTCTATGGCCTACTTACGGATACAACACACAGCTGTTTATACGATCTTTACTTTAACGCTAGGCAGATAACAAGAATTGTCATCTGTTAATGTCTGTATGTGACATCGACCTTGGGCTGTCTATGCAATCCCGCCATCTCGGCGGCAGTCCACATTGGTAATGAATGTTTCTTCCTGTTTATGAGCTACGGGACAGTAGGATAGCTCGATGGTTAAAGTGTTTGCTTCTGTGAAGCCCGATTCTAGTGTCTACCGCTGTGATATTGCTGCAATATTTCTAAAAGCGGCGTTAAAGCAACTCACTAATGTATACTCATGTATAATATGCTCACTAAAACATTAACCCGTATGTTTTGTTTTCTTACTCACAGGCTGCGTATGTTTGTAGTCTGCGTGGTACTGCTGATGTCGGTTCCTATATATCATCTCATCAATGCGTTTTGGCTGAAGAAACATAGTCTCATCTCTGTCCCATATACGGATGGGATCAGAAGAGAGATATCCCGAATTGAGACTTACCTGAAGTCGTACCAAGTATCGTCTCTGAACGTCAATGAAGTTCAAACTGATTTGATAAAACCTGAAACGCTTGAATATACAAACTTGTCCATAAGGTCTCAGATCAAAAAGAAGGAACGTACACACAAACTTATAGTTTGGCATATGCTCCCACATCGTTATAAGCATTACAACGCACATCCTGTAAAATGCATGTATTACACGTGCATATACTCTTCCAACACGTCTTATATACAGGAAGCAGATGCCGTCATTGTTGACGTGTTTTTGCTATCACGAAGTCAAAGCAAGGAAATACCGGTGAGATCTAGTCCAGACCAGGTGTGGATATTCTTTGCGCAAGAGCCATGGACTAACTACAATTATCGTTTTCCTAGAAAGAATTGGAATAGTATCTTTAACTGGACACTCACGTATCAGAGGCATTCCGACTTCTGGGCTCCTTACGGTCTTCTGAGACACCAACCAGATCAGAAACAACCTGACTGGAACAAGGTCATGGCACTGAAAACAAAGAAGGTTTTGTGGTTCGTAGGTAATTGTAAATCGGGAAGTAAACGAGAAGAATACGTGAACGAGTTAAAGAAGTATATCCCAATCGATATTTTCGGGCGTTGTGGGAGGCCCCAGCTTTACTGTACTGCCGGTAGTGAGTGGGACGAGGATAAGTGTTTCAAACAGTATAAATTTTATCTAGCGTTTGAAAGTAATTTTTGTAAAGATTATGTCACGGAAAAGTTTTTCAAGACATTTCAAAGGGGCCGCCGTATCATTCCTGTAGTTCGAGGCAATGGAGATTATGCCAAACATTACCCAAAAGACACGTTCCTGAACACAGCTGACTTCCGGTCGCCTAAAGACCTGGCTGCGCATCTTTTATATCTGGACAGGAACTCCACTGCGTACATTGAACTTCTCAAAACACACGCGCAGTATAAATATCACAGTGCCGGGAGGAAGCTATGTGAAATGTGTATACGACTACACAGATCGGGGAAACATCGGCAGTCGTACCCGAATATCTCGGCGTGGATGGACACTTGTGACAACGTTTCAAAAGGTTAGGACTTCATGCATCACCAAGCAACGTTGGTCAGTGAGACGAGTCGACACCTTCGATACAGAACAGTCCAAGCGCAGAGGTATTTGTAATTTTGTTCAATTATGCCCCCAGAATCTAATAACCCATTTGCATATTAGAATATAATGGTAAACATCTTCACGATAATCATATTGATATACTTTCTTTCACTCTGTAGAAAAACACATTTTATAGATTGGCGTCTTTTTTATTGCAATGGTAACATAAACTACCCTGCAAAAGAAAGTTATTACCGAGTTCACTTGACCAAAAAGTCGAAACAAAGACGTATGTGAGATTTATGATAATTATTTTCTAAACAGAAATCATTTTCCAATAATTTGACTGAAAATTTTCGAACCGCTGCGTTGTTATCGATACCATGCTGCGTTTTGACGAATGATTTCTGCTTGGGCGCAAACCTGCACCACCGGGTTTTGGTTTTTTATAAAGTTACTTTAAAAGCGAGAACTTTCTTTTGCCCGGTAGTTTAGTAATGTATAGCTACATATATAGATATATCCTGGCCAGTCGTTTGCTGAGTTATAGACTAGTTATGTGATTTGAGCTTTCTGGACGTCAGACGTGTTCGCATGAAGATTTTACTTTACATAGAAATTCATATATAAACATGGAGATATTTGTGATATATTGGCGTTCCCATACAAGTATAAAAATTTGTTAACTGTATAATGTATTTTAGGCCAGAATATATGCCAATAAATTATTGTGAAATTCCTACAAGGCAAAAACTTAACACTTAAATGCCATTTGTCCATCAAATAACTGCACAATACCTGTCTATGTTCATTGTTAAAGCAATATTTCTTATACATTTTTTTAAAATACATAAATGTGAGCCTTTAATTTCCAGTGTGCATTTTCCGTTTGTACCATAGGTCTATGGCTTATGGTAGACTTGAATAAAGAACCACTAATGAACAAAATGATTTTGATGTCTGTTTTTTACGTCAGTATGATGAATATGTCTCAGAAAAGGAGGGTATGGGGTCTGTATCCCTGCGTACACCCCTGCTGACCTTGTATGCTGAAAATATACTCTGCCAAAAAAGAAACGCAAAAGTGTTTTCCAGACGTTTACCTTTTGTACTATATAAATAATCAACTGATCATAATAAATTGTTAACTTTTGGCAGTGGTCATTGTTACTGACCGAGGTTCATCATGGCACGCACAATTGAATGTCAAGGTCATCTGTTCTCAATATCTTGTATGGCCCCCACGAGAGTCCATGGGACTGCCTATCATCATTGCCTCTGGGAACCAATCAGATTTCGAATTGTGGTCTTGAGAATGTTCACACATTCTTCCTGCAGTACCTGTGCCAACTATTGGGGGTTCTGTGGCTGTCGTAATCGCAGAGGTTGATGTAGAGAGAGTGAGTGAGTTAAAATTTAAAGTCACATCGGCAGTTTATCAGGCATATCGTGACTAAGAAAGTTGTAAGTTTATAAATGAATAAAATTAAATTTAGAGAATATACTTACCTGTCTGCAAAGGACAGTAAAATAACTAGAATATCACAGTTATAAATGTCAAACTAGTATGAAGATCTAAAACATCTTAACTATGAAAGACAATACAATATAAAAATACAGGCTATAGATTGCCAACAACTGAAGGTAGATCACCATACCAGGGACCATGGGGTCTTACAGTACATATGCTTCCTGCATGGACCCTAGCTAGATTTACACCATCCCTTCAGGGTTGATGTAGAGAGCATCCAATACATGTAAGATGGGGTTTAGATCTGGAGACCTTGAAGGCCATGGCAGAATTTAGCTGTTATGGTTCATCAAAAAGGCCGTTGTGAGTCTTGTCGTGTAAGGCGTTGTCGTGTTGGTAATTGACGTTCGCTTGTTGGTAATGGGAAGGACGTGTGGCTGAAGAGTTTCAGCTTAAGGTTGCCGTACAATTGCCCTGCACGTGTCTCAAGTCAGTTCTATGGCCCTCATTACTATACTCCCACCACTATGTCCTCATATCGTATGACATTCCCTCATAACGTTCCCGACGACGTCAGTATGCCACGAATTGATAAATTTGAGGATTCGTGGAATTGTGCAAATGATCTGGATCAATTCAGGACGCTCTACGATTCAGTTACGATACAGGTAAGATAGAGGTACGAATATTCGTGGGATTCGGCTGGAATCACACGAATGTTGTCAAGGATTCACTCCGATTTACAAGAATCCATTATGAATACTGCCCGAAGGTTAGGAATCAGTTACGATTCAGTTCAGAATACGCTGAATGCACGACTATTCTTGACAATTAGTGGGAGATAGGTATAAAAAGGTCGTCACCCCTGTTTGGGTAACAGTTTCAAACTGGATGTTCAGCGTAGAGCAGCTGTGGTATTGGCCCTGGAACTGGAGTAACACCAGATGCTGATTGCTAGAAAAAGACTGCTTCGAAGGAGGGGGAGAAGAGCCCAGGTGATGGGTTAGATCGTGGCTGACACCAGGTAGAAGGTTAGAATATGGTCACTACAACAGACTGATGCAGGAGCTGAGGATGGAAGATGAGAATGCCTTTGCCAACTATGTGAGAATGCCACCCCACATGTTTAATGAGCTACTCAACAGGATTAGCCCAGTCATCCAGAGGAGGGACACCCACATGAGACCAGCCCTAGATGCTGGAATGAAGCTAGCCATGACCCTCAGATGCCTGGCTACAGGAGACCGATATCACACCATCCACTATGACTTCCGATGTGGCTACATTACAGTGGTATGGATTGTGCAGGAAGTCTGTCAGGCCATCATACAGGAGCTGAAGGATGAAGTCATGCCACTGCCAAGGACCCAGGAGTACTTTCTTTTCTTTTTTTTAAAGTTTTATAGGTGTTCGGGCAACTGGGCCCATTTTCACCTTGCCCATCAGATAGGTTTGCTAAGTTTCTACATTTTTATAAAGTAGTTAAGCTGCCACACGCTTTAATGTAAGCAAGAATCACATTCTGAACATCATTGCGAGTGATAGTACTTGAACACAACAGTCCAGTCAATGAGATGTCAATATTAAGCGCTGTCAAAGATTCCACCATCGCCTTACGTTGAGTTACATATATTTGGCAATGCAGTAAGAAATGAGCAACATCATCTAGCTGATTACACACTGTGCAATTTGCAGGAATATCATTATTAATAATGTTTAGATATGCACCAAGACCACAACGCCCAAGACGAAGTCTGGTTAAAAGAACCTCTTCTCTACGATTGTTTCTGGATAATTTTGCGCTTTAGTTACAAAAGGCTCGATGCCATAAAGATGGCGTCCTTTTAAGGATGAGGTCCATCATTTCTCTTGAGCATGGGTCTTACTGACGGTGCATAATTCTGCAGGAGAGGGCAATATTGTCTCATCCTGTTCTGAGACGTCAAAATCTAATGCAGCTTTTGCCAACTGATCAGCTTTGTCATTTCCAAATATTTCAACATGAGCAGGTATCCATGAAAATTCAACATCTAAAAGATCTTTACTTAATTCATTAAAAAGGTCAAGTATAATATTGATCAAGTCTTGTCTTGCTGAGGAGGCACCTGTTCGAATTGCCCTTAAAGAACTGACAGAATCACTGAAAATGACCGCTGATACAGGTCTCAAAAAATGAATCCAACACAAAGCTTCAATGATTGCTACAAGTTCAGCAGAGAATGCAGATAAGTGATCAGCTAATCGTATAGAACTTTCTCTGTTATCAGTGGCTATGAAGATACCTTTACCAACACGACCGGACACTGGGCACTTAGATCCATCAGTGTAAATCTGCATTGCATTGATCCATTGTAAACTTCGGATATGTTCCTCCGCAAGACCTTTAACACGAGGCGCCGGCTCAGATTTATTTACTTGTTCCAGGACATCAAAATAAGCTGATGGAAGGTCAAGCAACCATGGTGGCTTCTTTGGAAGAACACTAACATCAGCTATGGCAACATCACGTACATTATGATGGAAAGCAGTTCTCTGAGAACGCATCCCATAAGGCCCCATACGTCTTTCCAAGGATCTAGGAAATACTCAACACAATCTCCCAATACAGCTGGAGTAGGGTGTTTCATTCCAAAAGATTTCAGTTTTAGCATGTACCGAACTTCTAACAGTTCACGTCTGAGATCTAAAGGCATTTCACCCGATTCAACATGTAGAGCCTCAACAGGGGTAGTTCTGAATGCTCCAAGGCATATTCGTAGGGCTTTTGACTGAACAACATCTAGTCTTGCCCTTTGTGTAGCACATGCAGATCCATAGGCTAGACAGCCGAAATCAAGTCGTGATCTAATGAGGGCACGATACAACAGTAACAAACACGTCCTGTCTGCACCCCATTTGGTACTGGAAATACTTCTCAGAAGGTTCAAGACTTTAGTGCATTTCTGAATCAAATAGTCTATATGAGGTTTCCAGGTAAGCCTCTTATCAAACCAGAGTCCCAAAAACTTGACTTTATCCACAAACTCCAAATGGGAACCGCACAAAACCAATTTTGAAGTATGAGGAATCTTCTTCCGAGTAAAAATGATTGCAGACGATTTAGAAGCTGAAGTCTTAAAACCCCAATGGACACACCAAGTCTGTACAAGATGGAGAGATTGTTGAATGCCATTAAAGACAGTGTCAAAATTACTGGGCCGTCTCCACAACGCCCCATCATCTGCAAACAGTGATGTTTCGACCAGTACATTGATATTCCCAAACAGGTCATTAATCATAACATTAAATAAGGTTGGGCTGATTACACTACCTTGAGGTGTTCCATTCTCTAATATGTATATATCCGACAGAGAAGTTCCAATGCGAACTTGTATGGTTCTATCCCTCAAGAAATCGTTTATCCAGTCAAGCATGCGGCAACAAACTCCAAGCTTATACAGTTTTATTACCAAACCGTCCCTCCATAACATGTCATAGGCTTTCTCAATGTCCATGAAAACAGCCAGTAGATATTCAGTGCTTCCTAGTGCCTTTTTAATTTCGGTTTCAATTTCAATTTTAATTTCGGTTAAAAGATCGTTTTTTTCGAAAGCCTGACCTGAAAAGAGATTGTTCTTATCCATGAAGTAAACCAGGCCGTTATTTACCATTCTCTCCATTATTTTGCACACGTTGGAGGTAAGAGCAGTAGGCCTGTAGGATGTGGCTTGAGTAGGATCTTTACCAGGCTTTGGAATAGGAACTACAATTGCCTTTTCCCAAGAAATGGGAAGCTTGCCTTCCAACCAAATGTGATTAAAAAGTAAAAGCACAGTTTCAAGGCTGATAATTGGCAGATGTGTGAACATATCAAAAAATAAATAAATCGTCACCTGGAGAGGTATTGTTTCGTCCAGAAATGGCGTTCCTTAATTCCTGTAAACTAAATAAAGAGTTGTAGTCAGCGATATGATGTGTGGGACAATGTAAGATATCTGAATACTCTGATTCAAGTGACTCCTTAATTAGCCGGAAGTCTGAACTAAAGTTATCCGTACTAGATACGTTTTGAAAGGACTCTGCCACTGCATTACTCTTGTCAATATTTGTTGTTGCTGGTGTGTCTTTCCCAACAGATGGAATAGCCCGTTTGGAACATGAACTACCAGAAAGAATTTTCACTTTTCTCCATACCTGAGAAAGAGGTGTATTTTTATTTATGGAACTTGTGTACTTAGACCAAGAGAAACGTTTGGCTTCAGTAACAGTTCGTTTGAGGAAAGCGGAAGCGCGCCGAAACTCTATCAAGTCAGATGGTAAAGCTGATTTTTCAACCATTTTCTTTGCCCTCTTCCTATCATCATGTGCTGATTGACATGCATCCGTCAACCAACAGACTGGCGGTTTAAGAGGACGTTTACCTGAACTCCTGCCCATGGTCGTATTAGCTGCATAAATAATGTTAGACACAAAGCAGTTTCGAATTTATAGCTGGCGTGATAGTGTCAGAGCACAAAGCAGTAAATGCAGACCAGTCAGCTTAGAGAAAGTCCACCGCTGAGCTGTTTCTCTTAGTTCAGTTATCGGGTCAAGTTGAAGCCTCATAAACACAGGATAATGATCACTGCCAAAAGAATTCTGAAAATACACTTCCAAATCACAGTGTGGAGCTAATCGTGGACTGACAATGGTCAAATCCAGGGCAGAAAATGAAGCAGAGGCCAAGTCATACCGTGTCATGGAACCATCATTCAGAAGGAAAGAGTCTCAATGGCCTTACCTCCAACATCCAACTTAACAGCTCCCCAGAATGGATTATGACTATTAAAATCACCACATAATAATCATACACATTCAAAAGAGAAATGTAATCATCGCTGGAAGCATGAGCTGTATTGTAGACGTTAAAAATCGAGACCGATCTCGTATCCTTCAAATAGATAGTGACTGCATTCGCTTCTATTTCGGACTGTGGCAAGCTAAGTTCACTAAATGATAACGAATCCTTTACGAGTATAGCACAACCACCTCTTGACCCGATCGGACGATCTTTACGTAGACAGACATACCCTTCCCAACGGAATCGCTGATTAGGATTCAAAAACGTTTCCTGAAGACATATAACATCTGGCATGAGATCAAGACTGTTGACAAAAACTTTAAAACCTGGACCATTAGCATTAATAGATCTAGCATTCCACTGAAGGATTAAGAGAGCCATAATAAGGATTATGACTTCCATTGTTGACCCTTAACCATGCTCGTCAGATCCTCAGATGACAACTTTAACCCCAGCAGAGAATGTGCAGCTGATGCTATCGTCTGTAGACCATCCGAATTGAAGGCACGATTCGTTTCAAGGTTGGCAACTATGCAAATAACAAAACTGAGAAAATCAACTGGAGAGACATTGTTGAACTGAGGTGTACAAGAGGTTTCATGCATAAGATCAGTAAGAGAATCAGTCTGACATTAAACCTCTTGGGTGTCAGTCTGCGTACTTGCTGTCACCATGACAGGTCGAGATACCACATCAGGAAATGGAACAACCGGAGACCTTTCGAACAGCCTGAGAATAGGAAAGTTTACCCTCAACTCTAAATTTCTGGATTTGGACTGCTTCCTGATATTTAATACATCCTCTGTAGGCAGCAGAATGAGCTTCACCACAATTTTTACATTTAAGAGAACTTCCATTGCACTCCTCATACTTGTGCTTCCCTCAACATTTAGCACAAACATGATGAGTGCTCCTACACTTAGCAGAGACATGTCCAAAGGACTGACATTTAAAGCAGCGCAGAGCAGGGGGGACGTATATCCGGACTGGTAATCTCTGGAAGAAAATAACAACATGATCTGGTAAAGACTGACCAGTAAATGTAAGCAAAACAGATTTATTAGGAATTTTATCAGGGCCACGAGTCAGTCGCACAGCAGAGCATAGTGGAGGCAAAACAGGTCTTACGCCTTCCTCAATTTCACTCATGCCAACATCCAGATCGATACCAGAGATAACTCCACGAGATTTCATTAGTGATTCAGGCTCATAAGTGGTAACATAATGTTCACCAAGCTCTGTAACTTGCTTAAGTTTTTGAGTAGCCTCAACAGTTTTAGTTGTAACACTAACATCCCCCCTGGCCATCCGCTTAACACTGACTATGTCAGTAGTAACCTTAGCCAATGCTCTCGTCAAAGCCCGCTGTTGACAAAGGGTTGTTGAAGTGTCATTATCATCATCATCATCATCATCATCATCAACATCTGCCTTAATTATGACAGTGGTTGACTTCACCTGAACTGGCTCATCATAAACAAATGTAAGATCAGACCATGCAGTAGGAGGTTGCTTAACAACACAAGCTTTCTTAGAAGTACCATCTGGAATGCGACCGATTCGCTTCCTCCCAGAGGACACCACTTTGAAGCCATCCTCACAGTCCATTCTGTTGTCAGCCATCGTCGAGGAAAATCCCCAACAACAGACTGCTTAACCCACGAAAACGAATAAACGTAGAAGTTTCAATACACTCCAACAGGAGAGAAAATCAGAAAACAACAACAACAACAAAAAAAAGGAACAACCATGAACAGCCAAGTATGCTATGACACTGTTCAATTTGCTCACAAGCAAAAGACGTCCGTACTCAACGGCAGTCAAGACCGACCTCCACAGGAGGACTGGAAGGCCATCGGCCAGCAAGTTCCAAGACCGGTGGAATGTTCCTCATGCCCAGGGGGCCTTGGATGGCAAGCACATAGCCATCAGGAAACCACACAACTCAGGCAGTGTTCTTCAAGTACAAAAACTTCTTCTCCGTGGTGCTGTTGGCCTGGTGGATGCGGACTATAAGTTTATCTGGATAGGCACAGGTTAAAGAAGGTCTCTGAATATCTTCAAACATGTCCATCATTACATCAATCAAACTAAACGATTCCTCTGTTCATCCTAATCTGTTATATTATCAAACTCAAGATCTCTCATGTATATGTTCTCTGTTTCTCACGTAACTATATTTTGTTGTAAATATTGGGAGAGGGCGGCATTAAGTTGGGTAACTTGTGCCCAAGCATTTTCTTCAATGAACAAAATATGTTTAAATAAAAAAATCAGAGAAGGTCATCAATCCGACGCACAGTTGTTTGATGCTTCAGAACTGAAAGAGTGCATTGATGACAACACCATAAACATCCCTGACAGCAATCCCCTACCCAATGATGACAGAGACACACCTGGGGGATGGTGCTTTTCCCCTGAGGACTTTCCTCATGAAACCCTATGGCAGGAGGGGTCTGGACAATGACATGCTGTGGCCAACTACAGATTATCCAGGGGCAGACGGGTGGTGGAGAATGGTTTTGGAACAATGGCCAAAGATGGAGATGCTTCCTGGGGCACACTGGAACAAGGACCTGATGTGGTGCGGTTACTGATGGGGACAGGAGTCATCCTCCACAACTTACTGAGGATCAGGTACGCTGCCATTGGAAATGCAGACGTGGACAGGGAGGATGAGGACCACAACAACATCCCTGGTGCCAGGAGGCCAGACCAACAGGTGAGGAGATACCCTAGATCCAGGCACCCAACAGAGACAATCGTGAGGGCAAAGTGATAGGGGACTATCTTGAGGCCCTCTGGCAGAAGTGAATGTTAACTGAATGATAACTGTTGATATTTCATGTTAAAATGTTTTACTATGTATGTTAATAGTGTCTATTTATGCTCGTTAGCGCTAATAAAATGCTCCGTTTATTAAAAGGGCTTGTATCGCTCAACTGACTATATCCCTCGATCAATATGTTAGAATTTCTGCTGTATGCCATGAATGGGGTTTTTTTCAATCCCCACACTGCCCCAATCCATCTGTGAACATTTCTGCTCGGACAGCGGGTGGTAAAGCAAACGCAAAAAAAAAAAACAAACTTTGGACTTTTATAAATCTTTTTGAAGTTTAATTGGTATGACATAAAACTGAAAGACAGAAATACTTATCTAAGTACATTCTTGCTGATACGTGGATACATGGCACAATCATCAGCAGCTGATGACCTGACGTCAGTGTTAAACTCCTTACATACCCAATTTGCCGGCAATCGTAGCTGATTCTTAGATACACTCCTCACAAAAAGTTAAGCAACACACATTTTTAGTCTCATTACATTTTCATTTATTGCAATTGCCAATCATGGAATGATGCAATAGAAAGGTGAAACGTATGTGCACATGATTAACAAAATGAAATGAAATGGTATTGAGCAATACCAGACTTACAAATCATCAAACGCATCCCCGTGAAACAGTCGTTCAAAATGTGCTGCACTAATGGAGCAAAATGTTAACATTAAAGTTCAAGTCAGTTTTGGACAGTGAAGCAGTGTTCAGTCAGTAACGCGTATGACCACCATGAGCACGAATGCAAGCTTCTACACGTCTTTGCATTGACCAAATGAACCTTTAAAGTTGCTGTTGTGGAATGTTCTGTCATTCTCTTTGTAACGCCAGCTCAAGTTGATCCAGAGTCTGGGGTGAACATGAAGACTGTAAACACGACTTCCAATAATGTCCCAAGCATGTTGAATTGCAGGCCAGTCCGTATGTGTGATGTTGTTGATATAAGCAACATCATTGACAACCCTTTCTCAGGCATTATCATCCATGGACGGGCATTATCATCCATAGAAATGAAGTTAGGACCTGCTTGTTGTACCAGAGGAATGATTACAGGTGGTTTACAGGTAGGTTTTAACCGATCAGAGTGCATGTGTGAAGTGTGGAACACGTGCATGCCACAGATTTTGCATGTTGTTTCTGAGGGTGGTTGTGTTCGGGTGATGTAATCACTGTTATCAGATAAATCAATTGACAGTCACTAAAGGTTATGCATTCTTCTAATATTTACCTTTCAGTAACCTTTTAGGCAAACATCGCTATCGAGATTGATAAAGATATTACACTGAAAATACTTGTTTAATTTTTTTGTGAGGAGTATAGTTCTTACTTGCTTCGGCGTGTACTTGTGGGATTCGTGACAGATTCGTAGCTGATTCGTGGTCAAGCCACGAATTGACGAATCCACGAATGAGTTAAAAATACCTACGAATCGATTACGATTCGGTTACGATGCCTAAGAATGCACTGCGAATTTGTTACGAATTAACTACGATTATTTTTTTATTTTTCGGCATTTCGTGGCCAAAATTTTGAACAGTTCAATTGCTCAAGAACTGACTACGACTATATTACGAATTAGTTAGGAACTTCACGAAATGATTACGATTCATCTACGAATCCTCAAATTTGTCAATTCGTGGCGATTCGTGGGATTCGTGGTCTGTGTGGAATAGGGCTTAAACCCGACGTCTTCCATCTGTACTCAGAAGAAAAAAGGGCTAAACAAAACACGCCTCCATCGCTGTTGTGGCCATACCCTGTGTCCTTGACATCGTTGACGATGGTCAATCAATCAGAATGACGCCTCCACCTGCGCGACTACCTGCGGCGCGTAGATGGTTCCTGAAATATCGCTGTAGCTGAAGAGGTGGTGAGTCTTGAGAGCTTGACGACACGTGGAAAGCAGGACACGTGGAACGACACGTCTTAAACTAAGTCGCATGTTTGCAGTCGGACGATAGCGTTGTTGAGCTAAGTTTCTGTCAGTCATGGCGTGTTTCACTTTTCACTTTCTGTACAATTGTGATGGCAGAAATTAGAAAACCCATCAAGTCATGTTGCATTTTCATTTCATGTTGGTGTGTTTGGCTGCCACGCACCCATGTGACTGCGTTAATGCGTTTCCCCGACGTTTTCGGTATTTTTTGTCTTAACTTATTCCGGAGGCACACATGAAAAATTCATCAACTGATGAAAGAGCAAGCCTACATTCCGAAACGTCGTGTTATTCACAATAAAGAAGTGTTGACATCCATAAATTTTACTTTTCTGAAACTCAACAGCGTAAGCGTTTATGAATCACTCTCAAATAGTGATGATACCATGTGTCCGTGTGAAGGTAAGCGTTTATGAATCACTCTCAAATAGTGATGATACCAGATGTCCGTGTGAAGGTAAGCGTTTATGAATCACTCTCAAATAGTGATGATACCAGATGTCCTTGTGAAGGTGAGCGTTTATGAATCACTCTCAAATGAGTGATGATACCAGATGTCCTTGTGAAGGTGAGCGTTTATGAATCACTCTCAAATAGTGATGATACCAGATGTCCGTGTGAAGGTGAGCGTTTATGAATCACTCTCAAATAGTGATGATACCAGATGTCCGTGTATGAAGGTGAGCGTTTATGAATCACTCTCAAATAGTGATGATACCAGATGTCCTTGTGAAGGTGAGCGTTTATGAATCACTCTCAAATAGTGATGATACCAGATGTCCGTGTGAAGGTGAGCGTTTATGAATCACTCTCAAATAGTGATGATACCAGATGTCCGTGTGAAGGTGAGCGTTTATGAATCACTCTCAAATAGTGATGATACCAGATGTCCTTGTGAAGGTGAGCGTTTATGAATCACTCTCAAATAGTGATGATACCAGATGTCCGTGAAGGTGAGCGTTTATGAATCACTCTCAAATAGTGATGATACCAGATGTCCTTGTGAAGGTGAGCGTTTATGAATCACTCTCAAATAGTGATGATACCAGATGTCCTGTGTGAAGGTGAGTGTTTATGAATCACTCTCAAATAGTGATGATACCAGATGTCCGTGTGAAGGTGAGCGTTTATGAATCACTCTCAAATAGTGATGATACCAGATGTCCGTGTGAAGGTAAGCGTTTATGAATCACTCTCAAATAGTGATGATACCAGATGTCCGTGTGAAGGTAAGCGTTTATGAATCACTCTCAAATAGTGATGATACCAGATGTCCGTGTGAAGGTAGCGTTTATGAATCACTCTCAAATAGTGATGATACCAGATGTCCGTGTGAAGGTAGCGTTTATGAATCACTCTCAAATAGTGATGATACCAGATGTCCGTGTGAAGGTAAGCGTTTATGAATCACTCTCAAATAGTGATGATACCAGATGTCCGTGTGAAGGTGAGCGTTTATGAATCACTCTCAAATAGTGATGATACCAGATGTCCGTGTGAAGGTGAGCGTTTATGAATCACTCTCAAATAGTGATGATACCAGATGTCCTTGTGAAGGTAAGCGTTTATGAATCACTCTCAAATAGTGATGATACCAGATGTCCTTATGAAGGTAAGCGTTTATGAATCACTCTCAAATAGTGATGATACCAGATGTCCTTGTGAAGGTAAGCGTTTATGAATCACTCTCAAATAGTGATGATACCAGATGTCCGTGTGAAGGTAAGCGTTTATGAATCACTCTCAAATAGTGATGATACCAGATGTCCTTGTGAAGGTAAGCGTTTATGAATCACTCTCAAATAGTGATGATACCAGATGTCCGTGTGAAGGTGAGCGTTTATGAATCACTCTCAAATAGTGATGATACCAGATGTCCGTGTGAAGGTAAGCGTTTATGAATCACTCTCAAATAGTGATGATACCAGATGTCCGTGTGAAGGTGAGCGTTTATGAATCACTCTCAAATAGTGATGATACCAGATGTCCGTGTGAAGGTGTGATGAGGTGATACCAGATGTCCTTGTGAAGGTAAGCGTTTATGAATCACTCTCAAATAGTGATGATACCAGATGTCCGTGTGAAGGTAAGCGTTTATGAATCACTCTCAAATATGAATTTATGAATCACTGTCAAATAGTGAATCACTCTCAAATAGTGATGATACCAGATGTCCGTGTGAAGGTAAGCGTTTATGAATCACTCTCAAATAGTGATGATACCAGATGTCCGTGTGAAGGTGAGCGTTTATGAATCACTCTCAAATA